AGTTGGAGATCATAAAAAAAAACTGACCACCATTTGAGTGTGTGTGATTTCACTGTGACTTTTTTTGATGTTTCTAAAGCAGCACTTTATAGATTCTGGTCCTGAATCATCTCTGACCACTGTGGTAAAAACGGAATAGAAATTAAGGAAACGAGCAGCCAGCCATTCCAAGGCATTTTCTTTCCTTCTGTAAGTTTATAATACAAAACTTTGAACTGTCATGCACACGGTTTTGTTTTTAGTGTGGGATAAACATTATGGGGAAAATATTGATGTTGCGATTATATTGCTATATATTATAATTACAGTAGGCCTTGCTATGTATTAGATTGGTGTATCGATAATGTGAAATGGTTAAAGATTGGCCTGCATTAAAATGCAAGAATAATGGACAGTTGAATGCCTTGATTCATCAGGACGTCCACATTAACACTCATCTGGAAATGTGATCGGTCATGATGCTTCCAGTGTGCAGTGTGATTGGTTCAAGGGCTCATTTGCATATTGCAGATATCTGTAAAGGCCGATGATGCGATAGCGGTTAAGAAACAGTGCACAATGGTGGATCTACCAAGATCATAATTGGTCGAATTTTGTTCGAGAGACGTAATCTACAGTCGTTCATTTTATTAATTTTTTTTTTTGGGCAGATCATTGTTGAAATTTTAAGTAAATAACGTTGGTCGTTAGTAAGCTCAGTTATGCTGTATTTGAATGCTGCTATAGCAGAACGTGGTAGCTTAATTGTGTATGACTCATTGTGCTAAATAGTCATACTTACCAGTAGCACTTTAATTTCATGTTATTTAAACAGAAAACTGATTTTTGTTTAAGAATTACAGAGCAAACTATAGTATTTGTATTGCATCTTTGACTATCAGAAAGTGCTGGAAGTGTTCCAGTGTTGTTAATGTTAATTTAGCCTACATAATCTGAGCACTGGGTTTTAAAAAAAAGGCTAATAAAAATCAGCTGCACTGGATGCAGTGCTTGTGATGCCAGCAACTTTTTTTTTCTTCCTTTTCTTGAGGAAAAACCTCAGGGGAAAATGGCAAAAATAGTTTCCCTGTAGAAAAAAACCCTTAGCTGAGATTACATTCCTATAGCTTGCACTTCTCTTTCTGTAAACTGCAGTACTGAATTGAGCAAGAAATGAAATCACTGGTGGTCTCTCTCTCTCTCTCTCTCTCTCTCTCTCTCTCTCTCTCTCTCTCTCTCTCTCTCTCTCTCGCTCCCTCTCTCTCTCTCGCGCTCGCTCCCTCTCTCCCTCCCTCCCTCTCCCTCTCTCTCCCTGTCTACGTCTCCCTGTCTACCTCTCTCTGTTTTCCCAGTGCCAGGTTAGCCAAAGCTGTCGAATATTAACCAGACAGCTGCTCTGATGGACTGCTGCGTGCTCAGGAGAGTGAGTGTGTTGTGGAACATCAGAAACCTTGCGCTTCAATGTGTCTCTCTGAATTAGGCCTGCCCAGTATATTGTTTGCATTGACCTTTGCAATCTGATATCACAGAAGGCTGCAATATGCAAATGAGCCCTCTGACCAGTCACTGTATGTTTCTTTGTGTGCTGTGAGTATTCTGACCAATCACCAGATAATCCAAATGAGCTTCTGTGCGTGTTTTGATGATTCAAGGCATTTACATACTCCTGAAATGTAAATTAGTTAGGCTTAAAAAAGGTAGGGCAGTCTTTAACCTTGCTTTGAAAGGGTTTTCAAACCTCTCTTAACCTCTTGAAATTAAACAGACTTTTTTATTTGTACCTTTAAGACTGATATGTTTAAATATTTGTGGTTCTGATTGGATACTCTGTGTTGTAAAAACACTCCTAATAACTTTAGTGTAAATAAATGATGTAACAAAAACAGCAAATTCAAAGTGGGCTGTTTTTGTAGCTTACTTTCCATATTTGGACTGTGTGGACTAAATGGTGCATTTCAAAATTAGCAAAATTTGTTTTTTCCATGATATGGGCCCTTTAATATATTGCATGGTATAGCTCTGTTACAATATATAGCTCTAACATCATATTGTTGTATTTTGTCCAAATGACTCATCCCTGCTCTGAATTAGCTGAGAACAAAGCAAATAAAATTGTTTGCTACCCATCATAGAGTTAGCAGTCATTTCTCATCTTTACAGTCCACTAACCATCGCAATTTATGTCTGGCAGTTAAGCAAATGTTTTTCATTTCGGTGCCTTGTTGCCACTTGATTTAGTCTTGATAAATGAGGCAGGCTGCTTAATTTTTCTCAGCTTTTTATGGCCGTGTTATACACTCGTTTTGATCTGCCATCCTGTTTTTATCTTATAAACACATCCACACTAATGCATGTTTTATGACTGTAGTAGCAGGTGAGGACCGCTGACCAGTTTGTTGAAGGAATTTAACACCTTTTTTATAATGCATGTTGTCCAGCAGCTGGTAAGGAAAATCTACACTCTTGATCAGGTCACAGTTGGGGCACGAAACAGGAGTTTTTCCTTTCCAGATAGAAAACAAGCTTAGTGTGACCCATAAGTGGCTGTGTTGTAGAGTCTGTACTCTAAACAGTCTGAAAGTGTGTATTCTGGCACATTAAGGTGCTCATAACCTGGAAGTGAATTTTACTCACTTTTTAAAAAAAATAAGACTTTGATATAATAAGAAAACATTGGCATGTTTTGAAATTTTAACAATCTCTCAAGGTCCATGTAGTTGATACATGGAAATTAGGCTGCAGACACAGCCAATTTTAATTTAATTGTTTGCCTAATGTCTGCCTATTGAACCTACAGCAGTTTAGCTCCACCTATTCACGCTGAAGTTTTTTGAACAGGGCAGCCAATCAGAACAGAGCTCATTTAACATATCAGTCTTAAAGGCACAATAACAGAAATGGCCTGTTTAATTCTAAGAGAGTTATAAGAAAATGTAGGACATGAGCCTGAACGTGCTTTCTAAAACACCACTGTGAATGGAAATGTACCCTGTAATAAATCTGCTTAATAGTTAAATAGCGTTCCAATCTCTCTTGTCAATTTTTTCAGGCTCTAAGATGGTTTCACCAGCATTCCTGTGCATTGCCTACCTTAAATAAGCGAGTATACTAACTGAAATTATGACCTTACCTGCTCAGTGTATGCGTTAGCCTAAAGTAGTGAAACATCAGTTTTGGATGCACTGGGCTAAAAGAAGAGAAACTGAATATCTAAAGCTCACAATAAATAAACACAGTTAACATAAAATAAACTTGCCAGAATAATTAATCAAAAAAATCAATTGACAACATGGAGCAGTTGGTTTTTAATAACCATTTCTCATTTTTGTTGTCATTAAATTTTCCTAGATCCTGAATTTTGATACTTTTTCAGCTCTAAACTGATTCCATGTAGTTTGGTGGTTGGTTAGTTAGCTAGCTATATACTATATAACTATATGACTATATAGCTAATACAGTGACCTTTTTCTAATAACAGGGTATAAATCTAGCTAACATTAGCTAATGTTACCACACTGTACTTAGGTAGCAATAATCAAAAATATTTTCTGCCACACCCACACACTTTGTAACACATTCTTTGGTGAATGAAAACTTGCAGCCTCTCTGTTCTCCAACCTCTGATCTGACCCACACATTAATGATCTTAACAGATGTCTATATGTTTTGTTCTCAGCTTCGTTGTTTGTAGTGTAGAGTACATAATATTAAATAGGCTTTAGTTTTCCATTGTTGAGTTTTGAAACCAGTACAACAGTATCAGTGTTTGCTCTGCTACTTCTTATCTTATCTTTTTTATTTTTTCACAAGTAAATTACCCTTACCCTATTGCGCTTAAAAGCACACAATGGGTTTAACCAGTAGACATACCATTAGCCTTTGTTAAATATCCTGTAATGACACTGTCAGCTACACTCCAACAGTCAAAACAAATCAGACATTTTGTCTGACACTCGCAGTGTTTACAGTCACCGGCACTCTGTGTTGGAAAAAGGGGGCAGCGGTGTGCTCGGTGCGAGGCAGGTACTCTGTTGGATCCAGCAGGAGATGAAAGGCGCCCTGAGCTGCGCTGTGGAAGTGTTTATGGAGCTCAGGGGCCGGAGACGTTCCCCAGCGGCCGCGAGCAGTCGCCTCTGTTTTTCCTCTGGCTAATCCTTCACATGCCAAAGCCGCGCTTTCTCCGCCGTCTGGCCTTTGACTTACATTAGCAGCGTTTTTGGTTATTGTCTTTGTCACCCTGTGTGCTTTTGTGTGGATGCATTTGGACGGACGGACAGACAGACGGAGGGAGGGAGGACGGCTCTCTGAGGTGTTTCCATTTTTACTGTTCCAGCAGCAGCCGAGCTTTTGTGTCCTTAGTTTCAATTGAACTTTTATAGACCTGATTTCCAGCCCTGCATTTCTTTTTTTCTCCCTCTCGCTGTCTCTTCCTCTTGCGCTCTCTCTCTCTCTCTCTCTCTCTCTCTCTCTCTCGCTCTCTCTCTCTCTCTCTCTCTCTCTCTCTCTCTCTCTCTCTGGTTCTCTCTGTTTGTCTCTCTAATTCTTTTTCTTTTCTATTTCTTTGTTCTCTGTCTTTTTTGTCTTTCTTTGTTTTGTTTTTCTTTTACTTTCATTTCTTTCTTGCTTATTTTCTCTCATTGTTTTTATTTTGCTGGTGCTTGCTTTCCTTTCTCTTTCTCTTTGCTTTGTTTTTTCTTTGTTTCTCTCTTTTCCAGTTCCTTTTTCCTCTCTGTCTTTTTCTCTTATTTTTCGTACCCTTACTGTTTTCTCTCTTTTTTCGGACTCACATTCATTTCTTTTTCTTTCCTTCTCCTTCTCCATCTCTCTTTTTCTGCTATTTTATTCTTGCTTTCTTTCTTTGTTCTTTTTTTTCTTTCTTGCTTGCTTTGTTTTTTGCTTACAATCTGTTTTTCTTCCTCTTTTGTTCTTTTTTTTCTATAATTGTCTGTCTGTCTGTCTGTCGTCTGTCTGTCTGTCTGTATAGTCTTCTGTCAGTAGGGTCTTGCTGGTTACAATATCAGTGTCTGAGAGTCGTCACTCCCCTGCAACACTTAGTGACCAATGACATGCACACACACACACACACACACACACACACACAGAGTATCAGCACAGAAAGACTACAGACTACTACTTTAATTCTGTCAGAAGAGCCAAAATTTCTGTGTTCTGAACACATTTAAGTGTTATTGTTAGTCTCCTCAGATCTAAGTCTCATGTGTTAGAGGGAGTGCTGTGTGTCATTCTTCACTGCTCACTGAAATCCCAGGTCTAAACACCCCAGAACGCATTGTGATTGGATTACGATCAAATCACTCAAACCACATTTTGAGGTGGTCAGAGATGGATCTTGACCACATTTAACACAAGTGTAAACTGAATGTGTTTTTGTTATCTGTACAAATACATGAGCAGAGATGCATTTGCCGAACGCCGAGTCACACATATGTTAAACAATGAAATGAAAGAGGGAGGATACATGAGGCTGGAGTTTTCACCAAACCAAGAGCCCTTCGTGCACTCTAGGTCAGTGAAATTTTCCAAGCCAAGCTTGTAGACTCATATCGTAGTGGGGGAAAAGTAAAACAGAAAAAACATGTGTTAATTCACTTTTTGAGCAGGATAAGCACAATCAGATCTCACCTGGCCAAACTAGGGACACATTTCAGTGAAAAGTGTGAATGGAATGTGGCCAAAGTTTATCCAGATACATGCACAAAACACCTTAACACAGAGCTCAGAGAAATGCAACACAAACACTTTCTGGTGTTTCCTGGTGTGTTCTACAGTGATCTACTGCTAGCTAACTTCCTAATGATAGTTAGGTGGCAGTACTGTAATTCTAGCTAGTGACTGTAGGTAGTTAGCGATATATCAAGCTAATGTTATGGTTATTTGGACAGTGTTCATGACCAGCCACCATTAACATGGAACCTTAGAAGAGAGTGGAGAAGAGGAGGTATGTCAAATGGTTGTTGGCGTTTATGTTTAAAATTTAGTTGACGTATTTCTTGTAAGAGACAGTGTGATGCACCTCCCTCCTCTGTAGTCTGTGATTTTGTGATTAACAGCCGCTCGTCATTGTGAACACTGTCCAGATGATCATACCATCTGCTGGGCTGGTGCAAGTATTCTAAGGAATGGAATAATATCTAGAAATTATATATCTAGCTAGCTGTGTAGCAGACTGAGCTAACTTACCACAGTCATTAACTGGAAGAACAGTAGAACACCTTAATAGCATTAGCTATGTGTCATTTAGCTAGAAACAAATTGAATCATGACCTGATTGGTTTGTCAATTTGAATGTAATAAAGAAGCAGATATCTAGTTTAGTTTGCTGTTATTGCCTTGACTGTGATTAACATAGATGTTAATAGATGTTAAGCAGCTCCATTTTCATGCAAAGCAGGAGTTTTTAGCTCAAACTGTGGCAAATGTGAGAATAAGAGAGCACTTGTGTCCCTGCAGATTTTCTGACCAGTAAACAAGCCTTCATGTGTATTTTGGGTCATTTTAGCCATTGTAGTGTGAAACCAGCTGAACCAAATTAAGATACACCCAAACTCTGGTTTAGTTTAGCAAACAAACTAGGTGTGAACAGTCTAAATTTTAGTAAAGTAAATCAGTGCATCTACATGATGGATTCATAATCAGTCATTGTATCTATTGGTGATGGGCAGCGATGCACCAATATGAGAGTTGTGGCCTGATGCCGATATCCAGTGTTTCTCATGTTTATATCTACTGATATCAGTGCCGTTACATGCACATTTATAAAATGTAGGTGATTGGACTAGATCCACTTGGATTAGCATTTCAAATACAATTAAATGAAAGAAGTGCATCTCAGTAAAAAGATGACTAAATATATCAAGTGTTGATATTAAAAATCAGTCACATGTAAATATCTGTTTGATGCCAGTATTTTTAGGCAAATATATGCAGATGTCAATATGATTCTGCATCCTAGTGATGGAGAATTTTATATTATCTGTTTGAATAGTTCCTGTTTAATTAGATTTAGTTGCAACAATTATTTATTATTGCCCACCCCTTATTCATTGGTGATATGAACCTGAAGTCAGCTGTTCACCAGCTTCTTGTTCAAATTTCCTGGTTCCATCTTAAATGGTGCACCATTTAAGGTGGAATGGGAAATTTTGCTAGTTAGCTACCGAGACATCAGCATACTATTAGCAATTGTTTTATGTTTCTTATGAAGGGAAGGACCATAATACATTGAAACAGCATTAAACTAACATAATAAAATGGTTGTCGTAATTTTTTAACAGAGAAAATTCTCACATTAATGGGTTTCTTTGGCCATCCTTGCAGCCATCTTGCTGGTTTTTCTTTTTTTCCCCTCATAACACTCTGTTTGGAGTGTGCCTCTGAAAAACCTCTGTTTGGAGGGCTATTTAGCCCTAAAACTTTTGTCCTGCCCCTCTATCTCTACAAAAATCGGGACCCCCTACCCCTAGACGTGAATGCACAAGACGGAGGGGTAGGGCTAAGTGATAGGGGCAAGGGGTGAAGTAGGCCTGGGCCTGAGTGTCTCTGCCTGTGACAATTCTTGAGGGCTACTATTCAGTCTATATTCTTGTTGTCTTCCTGCTCTGAAGTAGATATTCGAGCGCTGTAACTCACTCTGCTTCCTGAGAGCCAGACTGGTAACATCTGGCTGTAGGTAATGTGTGTTGCGTCCTTAAGATATCTTGTATCTCAGCACCTTGCATTAATCATGCAGTGTAAGGCATATCCTTCAATTTGTTTGGAAAGCGGGCCACCATGCTCCATCCTCGTGGTTCGATTCAGAGGCCGAGCTTTTCCACGGTTTTACAAGAAGGACTTGAGTGTCTGTGTTGCTCACTGGATCCTAAGTGTTTTAAGGACAGGCTTGAGATGGTAATGAGGCACAGTGGCCGTACTAATGAGCTCATTTAAGTAGAAATGATGATTTATGATGGCTGATGTCATTATCTCTGCCTGTCTGCGGTATTAAAATATGCAGGTGAAACTTTCTTAGAAAATCTGGAAATTTAGTCATTAACAGCTTATTTAACACATACACATATACACATTGGCTGTTTGCATCTCATTTATCTGAAGAACTTCTGTGTATTTTTAATGTCTTTTTTATTTTTTTGTGCAGAGATTTTTATAAAATGCTTCAGTGTTTTGTTGTCATGTTATATGTTGTGTTTTATTTTTTTTTCTTCATTCTGATTCTTTGTCATTTCTGCATGCAAGAAGTGCATCTTCCTTTTGATCTGTATGTCAGATGCTGTCTATTTATAGGCATCATCTTGTACCACGTTCAGGGGCTTTTTTCATCAAATGAGGCGCGTCTTTTGATCCGAGGAGGCTGGCTCTTGCTGTTCTGAGAGAAATTGCTTTGTGTTTGCGAGTTTGCAGGGAGATGGCTGCAGTTTGAGGGTGCACATGAAGACACTACACTGACCTGAATGTGTCTGACCTGGTTACAGAGTCAAGAGAAGGCAAATATTCTCACCCCCTCCTTTTCTCTCTCTCTCTTTCTCTCTGACACATACACTCTCTCTCACTTTCTTTATGTCTTAATATCTCTCTTTCACTCTCTCTTGCGTCCTCTGCGTCTTAATATCTCTCTCAAGCTTGTCTTTCTACCTTCAAAGGGCACAGAATGAAGATGTCTTGGTGAGGTTTTCAATGAGGATTTTCTCTGCTGCTTTGAGAGCAGCACATGACAGCGTGCTGATGACTTGGGTGTCCCAATCCAGTTTTTTTGCCTCGTTTACTCCAAACTGAGTGCTTTCACATTGAGTATCAGGTGGTTCTATTCTGTTTTTGTTGATAATAAAGCCACACAATTTAGGTAATGTCACATTCTGTACTGATATGTTTTGTTTTTGGCGTACTTTTTTTAAGTACCATTCTGCGGTGTGTTTCTTATTGGCCTGATGATTTGGCTACAAGCCACTGGTAAAGCAGGACATTTCCTGAGATACTTTCGTTTTTAATCAGTCGTGACTTGTGAATGAAAATGTGACGACAGTGTCAGTACATCTCTACTCATAACTGTATACAGCTTCAATACCTTTAATATAACTGTACATAAAAGATTGGTGTTAGGTTACTTGTAGATTATTTGTATATTGTGTCTTTTTATTTGTATATTGTGTATTTTATCTTATTTCAATAGAATCTATGTTCACACCTGCACAGGTGCGATTCTGTGTGCATCTGCACTCTCAGGAAAAAAAGGTATGAAATTGGCATGCGCTTGTCAGTCTCAATGATACATCTCGGTACCTTTAGTCAGAGAACAGAACTGTACCATAAACTGTTGAAATTATATTTTCTAAATTGTATAGACCCCACACACCCCGTGTCGTCTCCAGGCTTTTTATTTTACTGTTTGGTTGTACACATTAGGTCATGAAAAGGTACAAATATGTACTTTTCACATGGAAAAACTTATTTAAGGTTCTTACTACATTATTTCAAAATATGATAGCAAAGTAGCATGTCCTTGTGCAAAGTAGTGATCTCATAATCAATACAAAAATAGGTAGATGGCTCGTTTTTATTATGGACTGTGATTGACAATCATAGCTGCTATAGCCTTAAATTTTGATAAGCTATTTAGAACGTTTTTTTTTTCTCTTCAGTTTTTTGATACTGCATTGAAATTATTGCACTCAATAATTACCAATAATCTTATAGTAGAGTTATTTGCATAGTATTTGGTTAGTAAATGTCATTTTAGTGCACTCAACGAAGGCCACATATATCATGAAAAATATACAAAGAATTTTAGGCTGTCACAGTTATTAGTAAAGTATCTGTCAAGTGCTGTTTGAATGAGACAGAGTTGTTTACTATGTAAAGCTACAGATTTCTGAAGCAATGCGGTGTGAATATTTATTTATTTATTTATTTATTTTACTTTTTTTCCTTTATTAATCTGTACTAATCTGTATGACTTCCAGGTCTCATGCAGATTTTTGTGAAACTGAGTTTTTTATTTGAGCGAGTCTTGGTGGGGAGGT